TATGTTCAGCAGGGACCATACCGATTATGGGTGCCTATGCAGCTGGGAAGAAGTCGAAGCAGCCGCTACAGTGAGCATCACGCAAATGTGTGACTGTACGAAGAGCTCAACCAATGCCGATAATTCGTCAAAAATTCGCGAAAATCGAGCGGCGGGAAGGAACGAAATATCGGCGAATTGCAAGGACAGCAGAAGGGGCAAATTGAAGGATCCGGACCAGGGCCGATGGAGATCGTAGCAGCATATTTTGGGGGCCCTTTCCAGTCTCGCGAGCTTCACTCAGTCACAGCAGTGGTGTCGTGACTCCGCTTCGGCACGGACGTTGAGCCGACACTGGACCCTCAACAATTCGCCTTTCTCCGAACTAGACAATAGGGGCCAGTGCTTTCACTCTGCTAATGCTACTGCAAGATGCAGTTGACAGCACGAAAGGGAAGGCCCCAGCTCATTTTGCAGGATCCCGCCACCTATTGCAGCACCAAGAGAGGTCTCAGCGCGTGGTGCAGGAGCCGTGGAGCCATGCAGAGGTACAGTAAGCGCTTGGGACAAGCTACGAAGCCAAAAAAGAACCCCATCAGGACGGGTGCACTTTTCCCCCCTTGCTCTCACTACTGTACTTGCAGAAAGCCAGTCTGATGTGGGTTGACTGCTGTAGCTGCTGTAGCTGCTGCTCGGTTGCAGGGGTCCCCGCGGCCCCGTGTCTGAGCACTTTGCTGAACCCACCACTAAGTTCGTGTGGAGTAGTAGTCATCGCGCCACGCAAGCCACGCAATAGCAGTAGTGCGTTCGAGTCGCATCGAGCCTGACTTGCTCTGCAGCAGGCAGCGATGCGGTGGGGCAAGTGACAGCCTCGCAGATTTTGAGGCAACACTGACGGTCTTGGGAGCATCTGGCTGGCTAGTAGGTGCGACCCATAGGTGGTACGTGACGGGCCTGAGCATGAGCCTAGATGCTGGCTTGTGTGCTGGCCAGCTTCATCTTGGCCTCGCCAAGTTCAGACCGCCTCGCAGTCGAGCATGACCCACCACTGCGGGGGCAAGACTGAAACTGGTCGTCGTCCATGCCCTCGTCTGCTATCTCACTAGTCTCTCTGAATGTTCTCTGGCCCTAAAAAACAAGCGCAGAAAGGCAACCTGAGGGGTGCGCTAATCAAGATTGACCTCGAAGGTCCTCTTGCCCTGGCTTATCGGCGCTGGCGTAGTGCACGAGCGGTTCAAAGATAGCCTTTCCAGCGCAAGGGCCGTTCGCGACAGTCGATGATAGGGCCATTCTCGCCGTCAGTGCTGGCCTGGACCGAGCTTATTTGCAATCCTTTCTTCTCTTCCGTCTTCTTCCCTCCGATCTGAATTGTGCGCGCAAGTCTCATGCTTCCCCCCGAGTCAGTGTTTGCAACAAGAATTTCATCAACGCAACCTTAAGCTGGAAGGCCCCTCCGCCAGCCGATCCGAGCCGAAGAGGCGGCCTCGTTTCGTAGACAACGGGCAGAAGATTGTAATCATGTCTGAGTTCGCTCAAGTTCTGCATCGTGCGTGCGTTTATAGAGAACAAAGATATGAGGGACACAGGACAAGCTTCAATGAGGGCGGAGAGTCGTTGCCGACAGGAGCTTGAGACTAGCAATATATCATTAGAGGTGTATTGTTCCTCCGCTTCCTCATCCCTTTGTCCTTATCTTCGGGCTTGCTGTAGTGCACTACAGTAGTCTTTGTTTGTGTCTTCGTCTCTGCTCGTGTCTCTGCTCGTTCCTTTCCTAGCAACGTCGTCAATGCCGTATACACGCTGCTTTTGTCTACCCTTCTGTCATGGACCGCACTGGGCTCGCCTCTGACGCTGCTGTATGGCTCCTTCGGCGACTTTTGCCACGTCTCATGAACGTAGACAAGCCAGAGGCACGAGATGAAGAGGTCGCCCACCGACGTGACGTTGCAGAACATCGGGAGGCCTGCAATCGCCGTCACGACCCTGCTTCATCACGCGGATCTTTCCACCGTCATGCCGAGTGGAGACTAGCGCCATGCTTTCATCAAGCCAGCACCAATCACCCAGCCCTCGCCTCCCTCATGCAGAACAGCCCCCCTCCCCCTTCTGCGCCCTGCACGTCATTCCGCTCACGCACATATCCAGTCAATGTCCACATAACCCTTTGCTTGATTACAAAGGGGAAGCTCTGCGCTGCATGTGACCCATAAGAGGTCAAAAGTACCGAATCTCGAAATGCGTGTGATGTTGGGCGAAGGAAGGCAGGTACTTGCAGTGAAAGCAACGTACGTACTCGATCATCTTTGCGCCAGATATGCGGGACAGAAACGTTGTGGAGAGCAGGGGTCCGAGAGCAAGGGACCATTCCCCAGCCGAAGTATCAATGCTGAGCCCATGCCCCTTTTCGGGAAGACCGCACACAGCGCATCACACAAGCTGACAGGCAGCATCAGTCAGACACGGTCTCGGTATCGCTCCTCCAACCCGGGAGACGTCTCGACGACTTGTGCATTGCAGTCGGACGTCTGGGCTGAGCAGCAGTGGTCGTATTCCATCAAATCAGAGCTGAATAGGCCAACACGAGTCCGACGACAATACACCAGGGCACATGTGAGCCTTTGGTGCTAAAGAAAGCAGCAGGCCATGAATGGACACACAGACAAGATTACCTACCAGGCTACGCTCGGCATGAAGCCACGCGTGTAGGCGCGAACTAGCAACAATAGGGACAATCAGCTATTACACGGTCACGTCTTCCGACTCGCAATGCGAGCGTCGGATGTCAGCCGCTCCGACAGCTGACGGAAGCTCGGTCCGTCCGGGTTGTCGACATCCCAGGATGGCTGCTTCGACTGGCAGAGAAGCTCTTGCACGCCCGCTTTCTCATAGAACCATTAATCATTATATCAAAATGCTTGATATATAATATACTTCGACCAGAACCTTCCATGTTTCGAGAGCCAGCAGCGAAATTGTTGCAGATGGTCGCATCGATCCGGCTAGAACGAGCGAGCCATCATCGCCTCACTTCGGCCGTGCAGGGTGACTACGCAATTCCGAGTCAGAGCATGTTGTAGCCAGCTTCTTGGACACACTTCTTCATCGGCTCTGCTGCCCTACAGCCAGCTGGTACTTTCCACGCCACTGCTGCAGTTTTTCGCTCTGCTTTCGACACAGAATGGCGCCACCTCGACAAAGCAAGCCGGCATTGCATCTACGTGCTTGAGCCGAAGTACGCTGGATCCACATCATCATACTCTCAGCCGCATGCATGGCCCGTCTTTGAGTCACTGTCGCATGAGCACTCATGCGGATAGGTCGGGTCTCAGCCAACGATCGCCGTTGCAGAGAGCATCGACAGACGCAAGGCCGACATCTCTGCCGAAGTCGACAGGGTTGCCGGGAAGTCCAGCGCGCCCAAGACAGGGCCTTGTATCGTGTGGCGCCCAGCAGCTCGATGATTGGCTGATCCCGATCACATGCCGCCGGGAGATTTCTCACTCGCAGCTCTGTATGGTTCGCACGACACATGCTGCACCTCCATCGTGACGAGCTTGACGATAAAATTCGCGCTACGCGACTTGGGGCAAGCATCGTAGTTCCGAGACTGAGCCTCGCTTGTCGCTATAGGTCTTGCTGTTCGCGCAACTCGGAACTGGCCCGACTGGCTAGACTCGCTATACCAAAAATATAATTATCATTATTAATGTGATGTGTATGCTGGTCGCAACAGGGTCGCGTCAGAGTCCCGCACAAACAGACCAGAGGCTCCCCTCCACGCCATCAACACTGCGACGATAGGCCAAGCCTCAACTTTCTGATATTGCTAAGCGGACTGCGATTGACTAGCGCAAGAAAGCCGCCACACACGAGTCAGCACTGGAGACGTTCACCGGCCCCTATGCCTCCTGATGCCATCGACAAAGTGCTGTGAATGAGACAGAAGTGGCAGGACTTGTCTTTCCGCAAACGCCTGAGCAAGATCAAAGACACATTTGCGATGTCTCGTTTTGCCTTTGTGCGCGCCAGCTGCCTCATGGTTGCTGATCGATGTGCTTCAGCAGTGCTCCTTCATTGTTTATTTCTTTCTTAAATTTTACGAAGACCGATTAATTGCTGCTGCTACTGCTTCTTCTGAATACTGCCGACGGCATCCCCTTTCTTCTGATTCTGGGGACCGGCGTGGGCGTCGTGGCATACGCTTTGTACTGGGTCCGCCCGCTTTGACTTGTTGTGCCTCTCGTCGTCTGCCCGTTCTATCACTTGTTCATGCGCGCTTCCAGGAACTCGACTGCGCCACTGTGGGAATGTGTGAGTCGAGGTTAAAGACGCCTGAGCTTGTCTGGCGACGGGTCCCGTTCGGCTCAGTCATCCATCTGACGACGCGTACCTACCGCACAATATTACTTCGGTGGCTGACCCCTTTTTTGTGCTTCCCGTGTCGAACCTTACCGGGCCGCTCCTTTTGTCAATGAATCTTTTGGGATACTAGCCACAGAATGGTACCCTCGATCTCGGAGGAAGCGCTTGATAGCCAACACTTTCGGATCGCTTCCGATGCTGGAACAGTAATGAAGTTTCCGGCCAGTGCGAAAAAACACGGCCTTGCTGCAGGCGGGTCTCTTTGGGGTTATGTGAGGTCGACCGCACTTCCAGGCAGCTTCACGAGCGTGTCCCGTCGAAGTCTCCCCCTACGCGCACAGAACAAGGCCATGCTTAAGAATGGACGAGCTGCGCTCGCGAAACTTTTTGACAGGAACAAGCTGCTTCCTGAAGTCAGAAGCTAGAGCCGAACAACTGCTACGCCGGACCGTCTTGCCCTCTGCCCACGCGTGATCTAGTCTCTCGGCACAGCTCGTCAGTGTTCCGACGCAAGACTAGGTCAGTATTCTGGTGCCAACTAGCAGCTATTATCTAGAAAAAGACCCATGAGACAAGGACCACATAATAGAGTGACACTATTTTTTGTGTGCTGAGACGAACAATGCTACACGCAAGAAACAAGAGAGAAAAAAAAAGTATGCTCCCTACAGGGATCGAACCTGTGACCGTACGCGATCTGATGCCGAATGAGCAGGCAATGTTTTTTGTAAAGCGTATACTCTGCCACTGAGCTAAAGGAGCCGAAAGTAATTGGTGAAGCGGAAAGATCGGTATATATACAAGAGAGCATACTCTATGTCAGATTTTTCTGACAGTAAGAGACTCAATGCAGCTGGGTTAGCAAGTACTGTGCCTTACTACTACTGCTTTTGAGTTTGGTCGCGAGAGCCTGCAAACTGCGTTGTAGAAGGTCTCACCGTGCCGGATGGGTCAGCGCTGTTGGGACAAGGCAGGAGAATAAGTGCGCTCAGATCTCCCTTCTTGCTTAGGACAAGGCACCGCAGCGCATTCAGACGCTTGTCTTCGAGCATCGTCTGCGACGCTGTTCATGCTCGCTCGCGTCTTTTGGCGTACGACAACGGCGTATTCAGGCTCTTAAGCTGTACCACAGAGATCCTTGCCCTGAAAGTTGTCTACTAGCATACTGCGACACAGAGGCCAATCCGGCTGATTTGACTTTTTCGCAAAACTTAGCTGGTTATATACGTGACCGGAAGTGAGAGTTAGAGTCAAACACACTCTTGCTTCTGTGACATTTTGGTGCGGCGCAGCATGATTTGGCGGTCCGGTGGCGTGCTTCATAAAGTCGGACATAATCGGAACAGGAACGGACAGCTCAGCTCGGAGAACAGCGTGAAAAGGGTCGCAGATTAAGTCCATCAGAGAATTGGTCGGGTATCTCCGAGCCCACAGCTTCAGCTTTGCTTGCGATAGCGAAGCACAACTGCTCATGAAGTGCTCGGCCGAAACAACTGCTCTTATTGTGCGGTAGAACAAGGGCGGCCAAGGAAGCCCATGCTTGGACTGTGGCCAAGCGACGATGCCATGGGGCCTTTGCCAGTCGCAGAGGCCACACTCATTCCATCTCGACATCGTCCAACACAATTTACGAACGTGTACGTCGCGCGAGGTCTTGGCAAGGCAAGCAGACAGGCCCTCATCGTGATGAGGTGGAAACATTGTTTGATATGGTTCTGCGAGTTGCAATCACACAACGATTTCATACACTGAACAGCTCAGCATGATTTGCTGAGGCTCAAACATCCACTCCAACACAATTTGCTGGAAATACAACTTTAAATGTAGATTACATGCCAGTTTAGACAAGCCATGGCACCGTGGATATTGCGAGAGAGGCAACACAGTAATGACTGGCTAAGCTTCCCGTGTCTGATCGGTAGACGAAGGCTTAGGCTCTGGGCTTGGAATATGAGCGTTTGCCAGCTCTACCGGTTTCTCGGAAGTAGTCGGCTTGCGCAACGGTGCCGTAGCGGCGTTTCGGTGAGTAGGATCGGTAAAGAGCTGAGGAAGTTCACTCATGCCATTGTCGAGCGTGCGAAACGCAGCTGCAGCCTCCGACGGTGTTGCAGTAGAAGCATCGCTGACACTTGTGGCTACTGATGCACGTGCTCCCTTGCCATTCGCTTCCGTCCCCACGGACGAGAGACTATGCGCGACCGTCGCAGACGCACCGTCAACAGCAGTGGCCTGGGAGAATACAGATCCGGCAACGCTGCCGAGCGTTGAAGGCGCAGGACCGGCAACCGATGTGGCCGACGAAGGCGGAGGCAGTCTCGCGGGCGGTATCTGCTGCATTGTCTGTGCCGCAGCACTGAGACTCGCCAAAGGCCCACTTCCGCGGTTTTCCGAGGGGCTTACCGCTCTGGGTGCATGCGCATCGCCGTTCGAGGTCGTAGCGTCATACGGGCGCGAGAGTGGCGACTTTGCGGGTGTGTGCCGCAGAGGAAAGCTGCCAGAAACCTGCGAAGGTCGCCGCAGACCGGGGCTACCCAGGGCGCTGCCGTACGATGGCGATCGCGACTGTGCCGCGCCGGGTGTGCCGTTGCCAAGACCTGCGGATCCGGTCTGTGGCGATCGTGACGAGTCCCCGGTTGATGGCGACACGGTACTGGGCCGACCAAGACCGAGACCAGTGGATCCGTCTGAAGAAGACTTGGCAGGAACGATGTTGTCGTTTGTGGACACGCTAGCGCCGACAACGGTGCGGTGGTCACCGTTTGCTTGTGCGGCAAGAGGCTGCGTTCGAGATGGGTTGCCCTGAGTGGATCCAAACCTAGAATCGGAGGACCATGTGATCGTCGGCCAGTCGCGCTGCAGGGGTGCGGGCGCAAGAAACGCGCTCTGGTTGTGCAGCGGGAGAACGGGCTGCCCAATGGTCCCGGCCTGGATCTGCTGGGTAGTGCCGGCAACGACCGGTTTGGGATGGCTCGAGGGAGGAGGTAGCGACACCGGGGCCGAAGCCAGTATGCCGGCACTGCTGGCGCCCGAGGAAGTCAACGTACCAGTCTCGGCGGGCTGCGGCGGACGAGTGGGAACCTGGCCCTGTGATGGCACGACCACAGCCGGCAGCAATCTCGGTTGCTCCTGCGACTGTTGGCTTCCCGTCGAGGCGTCAGCCGGTTTGCCTGCCTCCTTCGGGCCGAGGGTGAGCTTGATCTTTGGACGCGATGAGACACCGAGAGGCGCAGCAGCGGCAGCACCAGAATGGCGCGATGGACTCTCCGGATCGACGCTGGATCGGCCAGCGCTGTTGGCGCTTGGGCTGGGCTTCTCGCGTCGGTATGGCATGCCCGGTACGGGGCGAGGCACACCATCGGCGGGAGGGCGACACTTGGAGCAGAAAAAGTCGATGCTGGCCCAGTCTCGGTTTTTTTTGCGCCCCAGCACGTGCTTGTCGAACTTGTTCCAACACTTGACATGCTGCCAAACGCCGCACTGCTCGCAGCACACAATCTCGTTATCCTCGTTGGGCGGGTTGATGGCGGCTTTGCCACACACCTCGCAGTCGAGTTCCCAGTCCTCCTCCTCCTCCTCCTCCTCCTCCTCCTCGCCATCCATTTCACCGGCATGGCCGTTGATCGCATCTGCTGAGACCTCGTCCGGCACCGGTGTGCTGTCTTTGGAGGGAGGCGGGATGCCGCCGTTGGCAATGATCTCCTCGCGTCTGCGGATTCGATCCTCGCGCTCCTTCTCCCGACGCTCGCGTTCCTCCTCTTCGCGGATCGCCTTGTTCTCCAGTTCAAGTTCGCGGGCGCGCAAGCGTTCCTCGCGTTCCTTGATTCGGTTCTCACGCGCGTAATGCGCCTGCATGTCTTCCTCTTCTCGCCTGCGCTTGAGCTCCTCTTCGCGCCGGATGTTTGCCATCTTTTCCTCCATGCGGGCGCGAGCCTCGCGATCCCTCTCGCGCTCCTCCCGCTCAGACTCCTTGAGCGCAATTCGACTGGATCGCTTGCGGTTGGCCATGGCCTGCTCGAGTGCCTTCTGCTTGTCTGCCTCGTCTATGGCGGTCATGACCGTGTCGAGAATCTCGTCGTTGATGAACTGATAGAGATTCTTCTCGTTGGGGTCTTTCGACTTGGCAAAGCGCTTTGCGAACTCCTGCCAGTCCTGCCGTGTCACGACAATCGTTTCAAACTCGACCCAGCCCTCCTCTTCTGCCTCACGCTCGGTCTCGTGCTCCATGTGCTGCTGTGCTTGTTCCTCCATTGGCTCCTCGGAAGGCACATTGTCGTTCGGCGCAGGCGATTCCGACTCGTGCTTCGGCTTAGCCCCGCCGTCGCCGTTGGCCTCCGCCGCGGGTGAACTGTCGTGCTCGAGTGTTAGATCGTCTGGTGGATCGCTGAGATCGGAGCTGGAGTCATCCAGATTAGCGTTGTTGGTGCTGGGGTCCATTGCGACGTCCTCCGGCGGTGCAAAGCGTGCCGAAGTCCGTGTCCCGCGTCGAGGCGGCGGGCGTGATGGCGTGCTGCGCTTTCCGTTCGAGCTTCCGTTGACGTAGTCTGAAGATCCTCCCAGCGAGGCTCGGTTCCGCTTGGCCGGAGACGATGGTGTGCTGGTGGCTGCGTCTGATGTTCTGGAGCGCTTCTGACCTGCAGCGGCCGTCTCACTGGCCTTGGCTGCGCGCTTGGCTGCGGCTGCTTCGAGCCTCGCACGTTTGGAGCCTTTCTTGGCGGGGACCTTGACCTTTGCCGGAGGTGTTGGCTCCGGTTCTGGTCGCTGGATCCAGATGCGGTTGTCGTCAAACAGCCAGTATGCATTGTCGTCCTTGTCCCAGCCGATGGGCGACACTCTCCAAGTCGTGATGTCTTCCTCGGACTTGACGAGCTTCCGGAAGCGCTCAGGATCCTGGAGCTGCCATTCGCAGAGGTCGTGGAGCGCCGCAATCTTGTTCTCCAGGGACAGCTGACCCCACGACAGCGGCGCCTCCTCGGTACCGAAGCTGTTATTATCCGGATCGCGTAAGAGATACTGGCAACGGAGGTTGTGCTCCCAGTTGGTGAGGTCGATGTTACGATCGAGGGTGAGTGAGTAGAGAAGCCGGCGCGCGAGATCAGGAATGACCTCGGTCTCGGAGCTCTCAAAGTCGGCCTCGAGCGTTTCGGTCTCGAAGCCACTCATGCCGAAAGCCTCGTCAAAGACAAAGAGAAATTGGCATATGGCGGCGAATTTCCACATCTTGCGAAGACGATTCGTGATCGGATGCACTTCGGGCTGCACAGGGCGGACGAGCGACGACGCCCCCGCTAGAGCGGCAGGAGCAACTGCACGTCGTGGCATGGTGCCGACAGCGTAGTGGCGCAGCCTCACAAATGTCGCAACAGTGGTGAAGGCAGTCGACTACTCGCTAAGCTCCTAGTTCCAAGCGTCCAAGCTTCAGCAGAATTTGCCGTGGGTCCTGGAGCGAGAGCGAAGAGCGCCCACCAGCCGGGGCGATCTGTCGGAAAAGCTTGCGCGTTGCTATGTGCGTATGATTTGGTTGTCCAGCGTTGGATGGAAGAGGCGTTGGGCCTTGCACCACAGCTCCAGATCCGAATATCGGCGAATCGAGAATGTCGAACCGGGCAGGCAGATTTGAGCGAGGATGAAGCTACACGGCTCGGCCTTGATGATGTCGGGTGCAAAAGGCTCAAGCCAATCGACGTGCAGGGTGTCGAAATGGAACAAGCGCGGATCTCAGCGAGAAGAACAGCAGAACTACAGTACAGTACAGTACAGTACGG